TATGACTAAAATCGTTTCCATAGAAGAATTTAATTTAAACCAAAATGGAATCATTAGAAAAATATAAATACACTCAAAGTATTGTCAAAATTTTCTTCGTAAGAAATTTCTACATGTTATAAAAATAATTTATATTGAGCGGTAGCCATATTGAGGCAACAGACGCCGGTTTAGTCCAGTCGGACCGAAAGAATTTTTCTTTGTGTTTGTTTGTATCAATCATTTGTAGTGAAAGTAAACAATCAATAAGGAAAAAAAATCGGTTGCACCTCTTTTTTATCTCCTGATTTTCTACCCTAAGATTGCCTTGGTTTGTTGAAGGTTGTAGTGGTTTATTCCGATATACTTTATTACTATTACAGTTCCAAGGGTCTTCGTATTTTTATGTACAATATTACATTCATTTATTAAAAGGTCTAATTAATGCATTTTATGTCACTTCGGCGACACAGGCGTTCTTTTTTTTAACCAGAAGTTACATCGAGTTCTTAGGTTTTCGCGATTGTTATACATAGGAAACGAGATATAGGACATTTTTCCAGATTTAAATCTCGTATATTTGTTTTTTCAAACAAACCGTAATCATAAGAACAATTTCTGGAATACCGAGCAAATTTTTTTTAATATGACAAACAATTATTTGCCTTGCAAATGTGACTACAAAAAAATTTATAATTTGTTTATTTTATTTCTTCGGGTGATTTTGGTCCAGTGTTCGGATTGGCAACATAGTGGAGATAAGTACATTGACGCCAAAGTAAATTAAACTGGACAGAAAGCCAGAAACCAAAATTTCGGACCCTTTACAGGTCTCATGGTCGCGGCTGACTTTATAATTAAGGCATGTATTTAAATGATCATTTTAAATTTACAAAAGCAGCACGCAAAAAGATCTAAACGGTCATCTTTTTTAATTATTGATCCTTTTTTTCTAAGACAAAATTAATTAAATCAATGGATATTCTAATCTGTTCTGAACTACGCAAAAAATGCTTGATTTGTGTACATTAACTTTGATAGTTTTATATCAGGCCTCAAAATTAAGACAAATGAGCATTAAAAATAAAATTTAGTTATGTATTTAAACTAAGCACATGTTGATGATATTAGTATACTAATATTAATTCTAATATAATTTGACCTCAAAACATGTTCGGAAACGCAATCAAATTGGCTTTTGGCACTCGCCGGCCGCTGCCGAGTCTCGCCCGCTTCGCTCGCTCAGCTCGTGCTGCTTTTTTATATATTAACCTAACCTACTGAATAGAGGGCGCAATCATGTAACGCAACGCAAAGATTTATTAGGAAATCAATATCAAAACATATACTGGTTATAAATGTCATCAATCGTTAAAAGAAAGGAACAGTAATAAAAAAAGAGGATCAAATATTATTTTTAAATACCAAATATTAATTTAGTTGCTTAAATATAATACCTATTGTTACCTTGAATACAGTTCATTTATAATTTATCCGTAGATCAACTAATATAGACGGAACAAATAATAATATATTGTATATCAAACATAAAAAAAAATCATTTATTTAAAAAAGTGCACATTTACAATAGATCAATTATATCAAATAATATTATCCCTGTAATTAAATGTGTTTATTAAAAATATTCCAATGTATAATAACAAAGTACTTTGGTTGCTAAACTTTACTTGCCTTCCATAAACGTAAATCTGGTACCACCGCCTCCATTGAGAGGTACACGTATTTATCTAATGGATAAAACAGAACGGATCCACACGATTTGTGTAACTGGAATCAGCGATGACTCACGTCAAGTCTGGAAACATAATAAAATTGCCCGCCAATACTAAATAATTGCTACTACGCCTACTGAGAACCGTTTGCATGGTATTGCCAATAAATCTTCTAGAAAATAACGTGGGCTCTATGTAACTGATTAAATGAACTTACAAATCGTGCCATCGAAGTGCTGAGACGCGTTTCTTAACGTGACTTACTTAACGATAACTTCAAGTGGATACATGTGTAGCTGTTCACAAAACGCTTCATAGAAAAAGAAATAATAAATATTACTCATAAATCGCTCATTCCAATTAAATCGATGATTCAGATTTTTATAATTTTGCTCATGCGTACGTACTACACATATAAAATAGATTTATGAAATGAAAATAAATCACAGAAATGTAAATAATCTCATTACAGAGTACCAAAAAGAATTCGACCTCGAAAGTTCGCGGAATTACTTTTTTTTATTATTTGTCATTTAATTATTTGCCAAGTTTTATTGAAATCGGTTACCGGAAAGTGCACAAAACCGGATTCATCTCCTAGTTTGCCACCCTTAGAGGAGGAATATGTTTTTCAAATTTAAATCGATTCACAAATCCCAGAGTTATCGTGTAACATAATTGAGAACGACCTCCTTTTTTGAAGTCTGCTAATAAATATTAGATTATTGTGAAATAAATCGATCTCCCTATAGTGCGCTGGCCACGACATGCGGTCATATTCTTTAAAGGTTTTTCAAAATATAGCGCCGTTTGAATTCCATTTTGAAATTTTCACTATTTGTCGAGGATTTCGATGATATCTTAAAAAAATATTGTAAGTTGGTGAAAAGATGATAAACAACGGCAACGAAGTTTACACAGCAATAATAATATGAAATACAAATTTGTTGAAACAAAGTGAAAACAAAGTTCTTGTAACCTACAACTATGCATATTTAAAAAAAAATTAAAATTATTTCCACAAAAATTACTTCTATTATTTTACGTCAAGAAAGGATCTGTAAAATTAAATAACAAAGTCGATTAAAATAAGTATTCGGTTTGATATGATATTAGCAAAATCTGCTTGCAAGTGCGTTATGATTTTACGTTTTTTTTTTGTAGAGAATGATTGGAACTATATTATAACCAAATCACACACATAACACTTTCCTACATAGCATACATAGGCATACTTATATACAATTGTAAACTAAAATTAGTTTAAAACGATGCCAATATGGTTAGCGTATTCGTCAGCTAGTTGTTTATGTAGTTAAATACGATTTAGAATTTTTTTAAATAACCTCTAGGTTCAAACTTGAGTATCGACTTAGACAAAAGAGAATTACTTGCTACAATAAGTCGAGATAAAAAAAATATTGTTTTTTTGCTCCAAACCAAAAATTTTGCGTTTTTTTCTATGTAACAATCAACTTTTTGAGAAACACACAAGAATAAAATTTGTCAAGAACATCATTTCGAGTGCTTATATTTTCGCGATTATTACACATTGGATATGAAAATATTTTGTCGCATCTAAATCGTGTACATTTGTTTTTTTTGAGTCAGTCGTGGCCCGAAACATTAGTTTGTGAGAGAAAACAAATATAATAGTATCATTTCTAGAATTTGCAGTATTAAATTTCTTATTTTATAGTGTTTATTATATTCATTTCATCAATCCCCTGTCCAGTAAAATTTGTTTTGGCGTCAATGTACCTTATATGTGTACTGTAATGGAGCTATCCGTTGTCAAAATCACCTGTAGAAATAAAGTAAACACGTTACCAATTTTTTTCTGTAGTTGCATTTGAATTTCATTCAAAAATCAAAAATCAGCTCTGTATTCCACAAATTGTTCTTATGATTAACAATTTTATATTTGCGCCTTTTGCGTGGTCCAGAACGCTCTAGCTACTCGCAGTTAATTCGAGATGTGACCTGTATGAGCATCGTAGAGACGTTCTTGCTTAACACAATTCTCTGCAGCAACGGATAAAGCAAATAAACATTTTAGTTCTATTTTAGTAGTCCATTTATGCTTCTTGTACAGCCGGTATATCGCGGCTATATTAAATGCTCGAGATACGTCAAGAGTCGAGTTGTTGCGATAAATATGAATGATATAATTTAATCTGACGTCTGCTCCCGATGTTTAGACAGATTGAAAACTTCTGAAGAATTGTTTCGAAAATATTTATGCGCATGCCACGTAATTTTAAATGCTTTGAGTAAATAAATAGAACTATTTACTCAAAGCATTTAAAATTAATTTTCAAAACATTTAAACTGGATGTTTATAATTATAATGCACAAGGTTTATCCACGTACTCATACTTGCTTTTCCAGTTTGTGTACATAGTTTTTAGGTTACTTGCTGTCTTGGTTAATATATATCGCAATTTAAAATATTCGTTTATCACATTTCAGTATTATGTCTTTGGATAGTCGTAGAATTCTCTTGGATGTAATTTGTGTCAAAAATGTTTCATCATGAGGTGGATTGTCCTCAGTTGCTTCAAAAATTCAAATTGCGTATTCCCGTGAGGTATTCTCATAACAAAATTACTCCATTTAGTGTTCAATTTCGCAAAAACGTATTTGGCTGAAACTCGCCAGTTGCAAGGTTTGTAGGACCGTAAATAATTACAATGACATTATTGATATTCACCATGACGTTCCTCTCAGAACACGTAAAAAATTCTTAATTTATTAAATTCAGTTCATTTCCAAGCATATTATTATTTGCAAAAATTTTAAGTGTTAGTTTTTTTAAATTTTAGTTAAAGATAGTTATGTTTTAGTGCATATAGTGTTTACCTATAAGTATTTATATCTATTAGATTTCTTGTAACTGTATGATAAGATATAAACAAGTAATATTGTATGTACATAGACGTTCGTAAACCTTATAAATAAATAAATATTCAGATATGCATTACGTCAGTGTCTCACTGGAGTAGGCTGAGCAGAACGGGTCAGAATATGTATTAGAAAGGGAAAAGGGTGTGGTTTTATAAAATATAATAGTAATGCACAAACTTAATACTATTAAAATTTGTTATAATTTTTATCAGTAATTAGAATTAATGTGTTAAATATAATAATTATGAAGTCAAGCCCCTAGATGGCGTTACCTGGATTCTGCTTCGCGCTGACGAAATATTCACATCTGATTTGTAATTCACAAAGATGTCATCGAGTGGCATTAGTTTTGAAATTATAATGAGGTAATATGAATTTCAGGAAATGCTCCAAAGATCATCACTAGAGACACAAAAGCTGGAATTGTTGTCTAAACTCAGTGAAGTGCGACTCCGGGCGGCGGAGCGTGGCGTCCTAGAGAGATCGCCGCCTCCGATGGATATCACTACAACTCCATTGGCTAGGCCTGCACCTCCGAGGGTACGTTGATAATTGATATCTAATTTAGTATTTTCTGTTCTGCGTACATAATTATTTACAAATTAATTGAAATTTTATGACTAAGAATGTATACATCTTATCATTAATACCAAATGAAAACTGTTATAAAATATAAAAATTGTTTAGAAAAAAAAATTATAGACTAATATTTACTCAAAAACTTTATAAAACTGCAAGGCAAGAGGAAGAAGGTTGCTTTTCAATACGAAGGTCAATGTTTCGATACCCAGGACCGCATGTACCTATGAAATTAATTTCTAAGTTATATATATTAGCGAGTGTTTAGTAGCTATACTTCTCTCTAACGTTAAAAGATAACATCTTGATAAAACCTGCTTATCGAAGAAGTTTTACGACTCTTGGAAAAGTGTCGGCCCCAGCACGCATTAGACCAGCCTAAACCCTCTCATTAAGGCACAGTTTCCCAAAGTGATCTCTACCGTCCCCCAGTGGGCACTGAAGAGTCTTAAGGGTAGGGTAGGGGCCTCAAAAGCAATTGAAGGGCGTTGATGCCGTCCAGGAGGCTCTACCGCGTTTGAAAAAAAAGACCTGGATTATCAATATACGTACACTACATATCGCACAGTTAATATAATAGTGTATTATCTCAAAAAGTGCATTTTCTCAGAATCGATGAAAAAGTAATTACTCGCTTCCCGTGAAAGATCAGTGTAAATTTATGTATAAGTTATTTCCTACTTGCCAAATATGCATATTTAAAAATAAAAGAAAAAAAAATAGTTTTATATTTTTTAATAAGGACAATTTTGGCCAGAAATAGCTCACATAAAGAGTGCCTCATTTTGAGTTAATTAGATATATTTTTAGTTGTTTTTTACAGTATTCTAACGACGGTTTTATTGACGTGTAGAAGATCAAATTTTACGTTCAACAATGGTATAATCTTGAATTTTGAGTTATTACACTGTTGTAATAGCAGTGCGATATATAATTTTTTTCCTTGTGATTTTTTTTAGTGTTAACATTAACACAAAAAATTCTCAAAAAGTAATTAAAAAAACGTATTTATTATTTTAATAAAAAATAGGTACGTGTTTTCAATGATATTTTGTGGCGGTGGGCTTTGAAATTTTATATCTTGCCTAAGTGGGCGGTGAGCCAAAAAAGTTTGGGAACCTATGCCTGAGACGAACTCGTGCTCAATACCCTCTTTAGATTATAACTTGGTCACTCTAAGACTGTAACATTAAAAACTTCGTCTAAACTAACATTTCAGACGCCACCAGCAAACTATGGTCGTCAGATCGAGCGAAACACGCACATGTACTCCTCCCTACCACGATCGTCCATCATCACGTCTGAGGCGCGCGTGGCGTTCGGTAAACAGAACAACATGGTGGTGGCGCGGGGACGCGGGCAGTCCGTTCCGAATCTAGGTCTCTGGGGACACTATAGCATGTGTTCCTATGAAACTTGAAAGGCTGAAAACCCCGCTTTTGTCCTCACTCAACATTCTAGATTTAAAAAATAGACCTGTTTTGTTCCCATTTGTCCGATCGTGTTACATTCCGATTTATTTATTTTATATGATAATGTTTGTTATCAAATTTCATTTAAAGCTTGATGCATGCTGCCGTCCGCAATTTTTTTGAGATATCATAAAAAACCATAACCCAATTTTAGAATATTGAAACCGTTTAATGATATTTCAGCTATGCGTCATTAGGGTAAGTTCCGATAAGTCAAAAGATAATTTTGTGTTCTATTTTTTTTCTATTTAAAACGGATATTTCACCATTTGTCACTTTGCCGCGTTTTAGTTAGTGGACGGCAGCATGACTGTCAACCCCTGATAAACGACGTTAATATAGATTTTTGATATCAACCTTTGCCAGCTGCCATCAAAGCAAATAAAAACAATTACATTTGAATAAGAAAAAAAATTATGTGAGATAGTGCAAATATCCTCAATCAAAACATCTTTTCACTTCATAGCATTAGTCTAGAACTTCATTCAGTACACTTGTTTGTTGTCTTTGATACAAAGACCGAACAAACACCAAGAAAAATTCCTTCCGTCTGGACTGGATAGCCCCGGTTTGCCGATAGAGTCGCTGGTTCGTATTCAACCGAATCGAATCAAATTTTGCTTTTTCGATCTTTGTATTGATTATAACAACAAACTAGTAGAGTACTTTCACAAAAAAATATATAAATAAATACTACAACATCACGATATTCAATAAAATTAATATTTCATTCTATACAACTTTCATTAGCATAAAAGACAGGTCATATTTTAACTATAGTTATAGTTAACGTAATCGTTATTTTTTCCCTCAGAGCGAGACCTGTAAATTTATTTTTGTTTTAAAAATAAAAGACGTGTTTATGATAGTTACGAAATGTTTAATGAATCAAAAATTTGAAAAAAGCACTAATCTTGTGTAGTCTGGTGCTCGATGTCTGGTTGGCTGGCTTTATACATATATTTTTCGCTTTCGCGCCATTTTTTACAATTTATTGTTACTTATGTTATATTTTGTGAAAGCGGTACACTTTTAAATTTTTTGGGGACAGCGGGACACGAAGCCTAAAAGCGGGACTGTTTCGCTCAAAGCGGGACGTATGGTCACGTTAGCTATAGTATGCCTTGCCTTTTTTGTAACTAATGGTGTAATCTGTTTTTGAATAAGTAGAAAATAAATAAATTTATTACTATTTGAAAAAAAAAGGTAAAATGTAATCGAAGGAAACGAACAAATGGGAATAAAAATAGTTCACTGCCACAATCCCTTTTAATGTTTGCGTACGTGTGCTCGTTAATAAATGTGTAACGAGGTTGAATTGATTCATATTTCTCTGTAAATAGATGTTTTCATGTTTACAATGACCTTCTAGAGTTAGCACATTTTAACGATACCTATTGCTTTATGTCTGTGGTCGTCTTTCAATTAGGCACTATATCGCGATCTAATTAGCTGCATGCTGCGTTAGCTTAACACGTTGGTGGACAGCAATATGCGTTGATAGAGGCGTAGTGGGATAAAATGGCGCACATTTTAAACCGAAATACTTAAAAAAGGAGGAGGTTCACAGTTCGACTGTATGTTTTTTGTATGTATGTTACTCGAAAACTCCGTATTTGTAAAACCGATTCCGACGGTTCTCTTTTGTTGGAAAGAGGGTACCTCAGTAGGGGTCCGAATTAAATTTGAAAAAAAAAAATATTACATCTCTATGGATGGCAAACTAGGGGATGAATGACTTTTGACGTCGGTCGGATTATTTTTACCCCAACCGAATTACATCTATTTGCCAAGTTTTATTGAAATCGGTTACCGAAAGTGCTCTGATTCATCCCCTAGTTTTCCACCCTTAGAGGTGGAATATTTTCTTCTAATTAAAATTGGACCAGTAGTGAGGTTCCCTCTTTGCAACAAAAAAGAATCATTAAAATTGGTTCGCGTAACATACATACAAAAAATACAGTCGAATTGAGTCTTTTTTTGAAGTCGGTAAAAAATAGTCTAAACAGCGAACGCTACAGCGATTTTAACACCAAAAGCTAGACCGTATTGATTGCCTAGCTGGTGCCTAGACTTTGTAGAAACCAAATAATCATTTAGTGCTTTCTCAGTTAGGTTGATTACTGTTTTGTGCTCTAAAGACAATGTTATTAAGTTTTTATCTTGCGCAACCTTTAACCATCACCACCAACTTCCACAGGAATCGTTTTAATTTTCCTCTTTTGATTTAGAAATTATTCACTTTTTAAGTTAAGACTTTTATTGCTGCTTTATTTCTACACGAACCAGTAATCCGAAGTTGGATTAAGACTGTTCCAAAAACTCAGGAGAAGCTATTAACGATATTAAAAATCATATTTAAAAACGATATTTTTGTAATGTATCTCAATGAAAATCATTTATAACACAATGTTTTATACACGTTTGATATTATATTAAGAGACTTGATAAAAGTGTGACAGCAGAACCAGTTCACATTCTGATGAGGCACAAACTGGGAAAACGCGGAAGGGAAATAAATTCTGAAATGTTGTATTCTTAAATTAGTTAAATCGTGAATCAATCCACACGTGTTACAGACATGGAAGTACTGTTTACGATATTTATTTTATACAATAATACAAATTCACTTATCAAGAAACATGATTACAATGTTACCTTTATCGTAAAACTTATACAGAGAGTCGGTGTTGTCTGTCAATGAAGCACAAAAAAAAATTCTTCCTGTGCAATAAAAAAAAAAGACACTAAACAAGTATTGCATACCAATTTGCCATGATGACACTTTTGGTAGCATAATTAAATACGAAATTAAAACAAAAGAAGAATTTTTCTGTTTTTTTTTTTTTTTTTATAGTGTTACTTAATTATTGGTAACTTCGTGTCAAATGGGTCTATAAGTCTGTTATAGAGGGCAGTGAAGAGCATTGTCCTCGCTGATTTTCTGCCATAGATTAAGAATAGATAGTCTAAAAATTAAAAAACATCAAATCTCATAATTTCAATACAGAGTACTAAACAAATCTGACCTCAAAAGTCATTCATCTTCTAATTTGCCACCCTTAGAGGTGGAATATTTTCTTCAAATTTGAACAGGACCACTACCCCTCTTTCCAACAAAAAAATAATCACCAAAATCGGTTCACAAATGCGGGAGTTATCGCGTAACATACATACAAAAAAAAATGCAATCGAATTGAGAACATCCTCATTTTTTAAAGTCGGTTAAAAATATTATTCAAATTCCATTTGATTATTGAACAATACACTTAAGGCACGAATTATAAGCAACGTACATCCCGGCATTGCTCGTCAAATAGCTATGAATAACGATTGACGCTCGGTCACGCTCTTACAGATGAAGGATTCGTACATCGGAATGAAAGCACTGGCTCGTGTGTTAACGTGTACGATCTCGTTTGTAGCGGAGAAGGAAGAGGCGGTTCCGCGCGGCAGCCCGTCGCCGTCGCTGCGCGAGGTGCGCTCGCGCCTGGGCAGCGGCGGCGTGGCGGGGGTGCGGCTGGAGGGGGACGAGTTCGCGCGCTCCTCGCTGAGGGCCTCCACGTCCGCCGCCTCCCCGCACTTGCACCGGCCGCAGTCGGCGCCCTGGTAATATTTTCATTTGACTTTGTTTTATACTTACAGCAGTAGATTGTACAACAAGTGCATAGTGCGTCATTTTACCCGAGACGAGTATATCCACCCAACTTAAGTCGAGGGTAAAATGGGTTTTATGAACGAGTTATACACTCTGCTTTTCACTTCGATTGCGAGGAAATTAAACAGCAATATTACAAATAAACGATTATTTAATCAAAATTGAATGTAAAATTACAACAATTAGAAATATTTAATGTGATGGCTTTTTTATTTTATGCACTAGAGCATAAAATCCTGTTTTATGCAGTCTACACCCAGCATAAATACGAACTTTAAGAGCATGAGAAGTGAAAAATCATTTTTCATTACACTTTTTGTTTACAATACCGTTCACTGATCTCGGTTCCACCCTTAATCGTCCACTGACTAATCACCGCGACTTTAACTTTTTAAAGCAAATTATAATTTTATTATACCCGCTCTTGAAAATGTTAAATTGCAAGAAATTTTTGACAGCGCTCGAGACGTTAACTGTATGGTCTCTTCTTTTTACGATATTTTAAATGATATTATAACCGACTTTGTACCCTCAATCTGATATAACGAATTATCGTCCAGTCTCAATTTTGTTATGTTTTTCAAAATTTTTTGAGTCACTCGTATACCCATTCATTTATAATTTGGCCAATGACCACATCTCAGATCTTCAGCATTTTAGGACTAGTCGCTCAGTCGAAAGTAACCTGGTATCATTTGTTTCACACGTGTCTCAAGATGTTGATAAAGGCCTTCAGGTAGACACAGTCTATACTGATTTTTCCAGTGCGTTCGACAAAGTTGATCATGCCCGTTTATTTATGAAAATCAAAGCTTTTGGTGTCGATGGCCCCTGTTATTATGGTTTAAGTAATATCTTCTGAAAAAACCTCTCAGGATTTTTTAATAAATCGAGTGTGCCTCAGGGATCTCATCTTGACCCAATACTTTTTGTAATGTTCATTAATGATATAACTACGGTAATAAAACATAGTAATGCATTACTCTTTGCTGACGATTTAAAATTGTATCGCATCGTTACGAGTTCTTCTGATGCCGTATTATTGCAACGAGATTTAGACAGTATTACTGTTTGGTGCAATAATAATGGAATGTCACTGAACGCGCAAAAGTGTCACACCATAAGCTTTACTGCCAAGCGCAATCTTATTGTACTTTACTCATACAATATTAACAGTGTGATACTAAAGAAAGTAGATAAAGTAAGGGATTTGGGAGTTACACTTGAGAGTGGGCTAAAATATAATACACAAATAGATAACATTACAAGAAGAGCGGCACAAATGCTGGGTTTCCTGAGACGTAACTCAAAAGATTTCAGATCAGTGAAACCAAAAACTATACTTTTTAATAGTCTTGTTCGGAGTCATTTGGAATTCGCCAGTGTAGTGTAGAACCCAGTCTACTGTGCTCCCTCACAAAGACTTGAAAGTATTCGGCGTACGTTTACAAGGCAATTAGCTTTTTTCTCGTCGAGTATATAACATAGACATACATATGTTCAGAGATTACAGTACTTAAAAATGATACGCTTAGAGATCGCCGAATATTATCTGACGTCTTATTTTTATATGGTATACTAAATAATACAATAAAATGTTGCAATATTCTGAACCAAGTAAATATTAACATACCTTATAAATACCCCCATCATAAAATAACCAAAATATTTAATGTACCACGATGCCGGACTAATCTAGCTCTGCACAGTCCACTACCTAGATTATCCTCTACTTACAACCAAATTAATGTTCGAATACATATAGACTTTTTGATTCTTCCCGTAATGTTTTCAAAAATAACATTCTCGAATCGTTTCCCCAGTAATTTTATAGGTACTTTGTTGTTCTTTTTGTTGCTTATTATTATTATTTTATTACATTAAATGCGGTGTACGTCTGTAATAGGTAGACATATAAGTACAATCTTAATGTAAAGTTACACTGTTCTCTAAGAGTATAATATGTACTACTGTTGATGTACCTTATCTATAAAGTAAAATAAAATGCTTGTACTTGATTGCATGCGGGCTAACTTAACTATAATGCCTCAAATAAAACCATCGGGCCTTTTCTCATTACTGACCATGGCTGTAATGAGAAAAGGCCCGAGGCTATTTTTGTTAAAATGTATATGAATAAAAATTTATCTCGATACTAGTAGGCCCACTGTTAGAATAAGCGTAAGAAAGCAGTTAGTAATCATTGCAACGTCAACATTTTATCTTTTTTCACAGTCTATTGATAAAATTATCGACAACTACATACCTATTTAAAATTTTATGAAAACTGGCAGCCCTACATGTCATTTTACTCCGTCTTCAAAAAAGACAAACCATAGAATCCTCCAAGTTTCTCTGTAAGCCAGGACCGCTTTGTACGATCCACACTATTACCGATTCTATGTAACTTTTGTTGAGGAAAACAATGTTGTTTATTTAGGAAATGAAACTATTTTTCCGGATTTAAATCGCGTATATTTGTTTTCTCGGTCTCTCTTATATTGGACAAACAAAGCGAAGTATTTGTACCCGCGTCAAAGAACATATAGCTGATGTCAAACACCGACGCGTAAACAAGTCTGCAGTCTGCGAGCATGTCATGGATAAACCTACAAATTCAATGAAGTTTGACAAACCCCAGGTCCTTGCAAAAGAAGTCCGTTATCTGCCCAGGATGCTGCGAGAGGCCATTGAAATTAAAAAACATCCTAATTTCAACAGGGAAGATGATTTCTCCGTACCACCAGTTTGGGATCCAGTATTTCCTCTCATGAAAAATCCCAAACAGACATAAGACTGCAGTACTAATTAATATGTTTTAGTTTATTCTAATTTCTATTAATAATAAATTAAACTTAATAAAAATTCATTCAATAAAATAATTTGTAAAACTTAATGTAGCCTAAATTGGAATGTTTTCTTTGTAAAATTAAAAATAAGGTATTTAATTAATAACTATTGTAACTATAGTGAAAAAATAGGGTGGTTTGCATTAATATTGGACATAACTGGTTGAAGACTGTACCACCTCAGTCAACCGTGACCATGGGACCTGTAAAGGGCCCGAAACGTCGGTTTGTTTGAAAAAACAAATATACGCGATTTAAATCCGGAAAAATAGTTTCATTTCCTATGTGTGTAACAATCGCGAAAACTTAAGAACTCGAAATGTTGTTTATTATTTTAAGAATTTGTCAATGTTGTTTTATCTTCTACGGGGTCAGCCGTTTCAAATGTTTTTATTTAGTGTATTTATTCATTATTATAGTTATTTTTGTTTTAATTAACGACTTGGTAATATTGTATTCGGTCTCTTATTTGTATTTGGCTATTATTTTTTCTTCCTACGCAATCACGATTGTAACGGAAATAAATAAATAACGCTACAATACAATCTCAATCGACTGGTGGATCTAGTCAGTGCGACCACGAGACTCGAAGGCGGTGATCCTATGGGAATGATTTAAACTGCAGGCAAACAATCGACGTGCGGCAATGGGATTGCGAAACCACCTGCGGCTGGTTGGACAGCCTCGGGCTGGACGTGTACGTGCCACCGGCGCGCACGTGGCTCAATGCGACGCCCGACGCACGGGGCGTCATCGCGGCCGCTTCGCATCAGCAAATCGAGAAGGAGCTCTGTATTAAACACCCGATGCATAAGAAGAAAATCGTGCTCGCCCTTACTGATCTATTAGTAAGTCATAGCAATAATAATAGCCTTCCCACAAAAGGCTATATTCATCTCCGTTACCTCAAACAACATTTTAAAAACTTTACGTTAATCCTACAAAAAACTGTAATTTTAAATACACGCCGAATTGTCAAAAGTTCATGCAAATACTAGTAGACCAATTGGACACACTCACAACAATATACTCACCCTATTGCATTTACTCGATTTAAGTAGAGCAAGTGCGTTTACTTTAATAAAACTGTATTATACCTTGTATTTTGTTAAAATCATTTTGTCATCACCAACCCATTATACGTCCCACTGCTGGGTAACTGTCAGGCCATAGTTTTGCCAAACCAGGTTGAAGATTTAGACGTTGTCCAAGGGTTGTGGACCTTCGACGTGCAGTTTCATTTCCCTTATATAGACGTTTCCCTTCGCCGTTTTTTTTTTGTCCCTCCTTCCACCCCCCGATATTTATTGTTCGGGGTCTTGAATATCCCGTGTATGTTTGTATTTTTATGGTACGATTATCTTTACTATTTATTTTAAAATTAACAACTAATTTATGTACATGTATTTATTTCACAATTATCAATTACTTATCAATTATATATGCTATGGCAGATTTATCAATTATATATGTATGTATAAATTGTAATTATTTTGTATTAGTATTGTCAAAAATAATAAATTTAATAAAAGGAATTTAAAATGAAATAAAATAAAGTGTCACATTGTCAAATTGTCAAACGGTGTATAATTTTATTTTATGAATTAATAACGGTACATAAAACTCAAGAAAATAAATTTATTTGTTATTAAAAAATTGTTAAAATATTTGGAAATACTACAAAGTAATACTATAAAATAAAACATTCTGTCAAAATTATTATATTATTATACTTAAATCATCATCATCATCAACCCATTTACACGTCCCACTGCTGGGCACGGGTCTCCTTTCAAACGAGGGTTTACGGCATAGTCAGCTACGCTGGCCCAATGCGGGTTGGTGACTTCACACGTATTCCGAAGTTTGTGAACCTTCTTCGACGTGCAGGTTCCATCAGGACGTTTTCGTTCATCGAAAAACTCATGGTAAATGTCAAATGAAGTTAGCGAGGGTTGTTGCTACTGAACACTGACCAAAGGAATGGTGCAGGGCGGGCACGGCGACCCGCTGCTGACAGCGGCCGGGCAGCTGGACGGCGCGTGGACGCTGCGCTGGCTGGAGGACGTGGGCCTGTGCGGGCACCGGTCGGCGGCGGCCGAGGCGGCGCTGGACGGGCGCACGCTGCACCGCCTCTCGCACACGGAGCTGCACACGTGCCTGCGGGTCACGCTGGCTCTGCAGGCGTTGTCGGTCCGGCGAGGTGATCTGTCTCAGCTTAACCCACACTGCTGTCCACTAACTCAAACGTGGCTATGTGACAAATATCATTAAACAATTATAATATTCTAAAACTGGATTATGGTTTTTTATGATATCTCAAAAAAATATTTTCTCACTTAGCCACGTTTTACTCAGCGGACAGCACCACACCTTTTAACATTGCTAATACACGTAAATTATAATCAGGTAGACGCTCCGTTATGTCCCAAATCGTTTTGTACATTCGAAATTAATAATAATACCTGTCTCGGTAGTATGTCGCCGCGATATCCGAGTATATCCACATTTGGCTGTCAAATCCGAGTGATAAAACAGCCATTTTAATGTTACCCTTTTTTGTCGCATCGCGAGCACCTCGACCAATGACTGCAAAGTAATATAGCTGTGCTAAACATGGCCGCAAGGTCACAGTCTATTTTAAAATATTTTGACAGTTCTGCACAGGAATTTTATCACGGTAAAAATTGTTAATCACCAAATAAACAAAAGAACGAATGATTCTAGTGCGGTATCTTACCGATTCAGTATTCGCAGAAAAATAAATAAATTTTAATAATGGTAACATAGCTTTATCAACTGAAATAAATATGTCTCGGGGATATATTGCATATGATATACTGCCATGCTACGGCTGGTCTCTAAATCGGAAATTCCGTGTACCCAGAACACTCTGACTATGACCAATTAAGAAAAGTTCATCGGCCACAATGTTAATATCTGAGCCACCAAAGTCGTCAAAATACTTGAAACAACCTTGAGCAAATTGACCTTAAGACAATAATAATAAACCATGAACTTGTAAAGTATTTTATTATAATTGTATTGTAACTGCCTCCGTGGTTGAACGGTTACCACGCAGAGGTCCCGGGTTCGATTTCCGGGCCGAGAGAAATATTTGTATGGCCTACATTCATTTCTCTCGTGTGTGTGCGCCTTTATTTTTATTATATTATTAAATTTTAATAATACCACATGTTTTATGAGAGGATTATTTTTTATTATTATTCATAATAACGATAGTACTTGCATACCGTGCCAGACGCTATACCAACTAAGCCACGGAACGAACCAACGGTCCTCACGAATTTTTCTATGTGCTTGTCGTGTCTTTGTACTTGGTCTTTCAACGACTATTTAGTCGTAGCGCCATCTACGAGAAATCTATGACAGATTTATCACCCAGTTAGTACCTTTACAGCTACCACTCCTGGCGAGAGATGTCGCTATTCACTGTATTAATTAAATTTTTATTGAATTGATATTCAATTATTTTTTGTGAAATTACTCCACTAGTTTGTTATAATTATTAATACAAAGATCGAACACTCAGAAAAAATGCTCAGAAAAAATTCCTTCGATACGGTCGGATCCGACCGGATTCAATAAAAATTTAATTAACGATAGTTCTATTTACAAAAAGAAAATGGTTTCGTCGGTAATACCTCATCGTGGTTTCGTCCTTTATCCGCACACTCAATGATGAGGTTGAAAAATACGCCATTAGAATTTAAGTTGAAACAAATGAATTTGACTTATGTGCTTGTAGTCTGTCGACCCTAGAATTATTCCTATCATTGTACGTAATATGTAATAATTAATTAGACTAATAGGAGTACCACCGGTTGCAGGCATCCAAGTGCTGCGCGAGAACAAGTTTAACCCGGATACGATGGTGCGGCGAGCCCCCGAGGGCGAGGGCGGCGGGGAGGGCGCCCAGAGGGACGAGTTGGTGCGCTGGTCCTCGCACCGCGTCATGCAATGGCTCAAGGAGATCGACCTGGCCGAGTACGCGCCCAACCTCAGAGGAGCTGGTAAGTTTGTTCTCTGGTATAGATAAAGCAGTGTATGTAACTGTCCATAATTAGGCAATGTTGTTGCCTAGTACGAGTAAATAGAATTCAGATTTGCCATTAATGTACACGAAGGCGTGGTAACTGGGCGGTAGCCGCGCGGCGGCCGCGCGTAATCTTGCGCCTCCTCGTGTAACTGGGCGCTAATTGTTTCGGACGTAGATAGTGATTAGACCCTCTGACTCGTATAACGACACAACAAAAAGAAAAACAAAAATTTTAATTCTATCATGGTTTTGCAGGTGTACATGGCGGTTTGATGCTCCTAGAGCCGCGTTTCAACGCCGAACTGCTTGCCGTGCTGCTCAACATTCCTGCAAACAAGACTTTACTCAGACGACATCTTACACAGAGGTATCACTCACTAAGGCAAACGCCTTATCAAAGGGGTTCCCTGGTACCACTGCTTAATTTTTTAATTTTGGTATCATCATCGTATTAGCCGGAAGACGTCTATTGCTGAACATTGACCTTCCCCAAAGATTTCCAGACCAGCCGACCGGACGCGACGTGCATCTATCGGTTACCCACCGCCCTTAACAGGCCATCCGTCCATCTAGTAGGGGGCCGTCCCAATGAACGCCTTCCGGTTCGTAGTCTCCATTCGAGAACCTTTCTGGCCCGAAGGCCGTCAGTTCTACGAGCTATGTGCCTTGCCCACTGCCACTTCAATTTACTAATCCTATGAGCTACGTTGGTGACTTTAGTCCTTCTAGGGATCTCCTCATTTCTGATTCGATCACGTAGAGAAATGCCGAGCATTGCTCGCTCCATAGGTCGTAATTTTGGTGTACAATAAAGAAATGGGTATTGTATTGTGACAATTGTCTTTATTAACTAAAATCTCACATTGGTATCTTCAGATTGACTTTATATACATCAACAGTGAACCATTCAAACCGTTTAATAATAATTACAGGTTCAACGACTTACTCGGTAGAGAAATTATACAGCAGAAACGCAATGCAGAACAAACACTCGGCTACCAGCCTCTCACAGCTACCACCAAATATAAGGTATTTTAGTCAGAATATTACAACACTAGAGCGATGGGGTATTAAAGATGACGTAGTGAATACAAACCTTTGCTTTTCTCATATAGTTACCCAAAACCATGGACCTATAACCCGAGATGACGGCTAATCTCCATAGTACAGAACGTAACCCTGAAACAGGTCAAAATCCCGTCTTATATTCAGATGACAAAATCACAATGAAAAATCGAAATCAAAATAATTTTTATTTCGTAGGTAAACAGCAATTACACTAGAAATCATCATACTGGTTAAAGTCTACTGCTCATTTGTAAGGCAGCTTCCCATGAGGAGAATGAGCAAGAAAGTCTAGGGGTTGCTCTTTGTGAATAACATTTGTACACATTCAACATTTACAATATATACGATATATATTTGATCGTAATCGTATATATATTTGAAACGTCAGAGATCGAGACTACCTTCATGAGCTAACCGGGTTACTACCGGGGGAATCCTTGTTATAGAAGCGTATACATTGCCCCTTAAATGAATTTGTGACTTTGTGACGACGACTATCAAGGACGACTATCAAATATAAACAGCAAGTTTATTTTTATTCCTCGTATTAATGTTATGACTGTCACTATTTTTCATAAAGAAATCATAATTCCTCTTAACATAAATTACATTTTCATAAATGCATCGTGATGCTAGTGTAAGAATATTAATTTCCTTAAAGGCCTGGAAGTAGTTTATATTATGTAAATGGGCGTAAATATCAATTTATTCCTTTTTAATCTTCTCCTTCGTAGAGTGCCTCTTCAATCGTGAAGGTTGGCCATTAGCTTTCTGTATTTGTCTCTATGAGCAGCTAACGGGAAAGCTGTTCGACGAAGGCAATGCCGGCCCACTCCCGGATATTCCGCAGCCACGATTTCTTTCTTCGTCCAGCGCGTCTTATACCCTTCACTTACTTACTTGTATTACTACGTACTTTCATTTTTAATATGTAATATAATTGGTCAGTTTTTTCCTTGCAATGTTGTTCAAATGTTGATCATGAGCTTTGACGTATAAACTTTGACGTATAAATATATGGCCTTAAAAATGCCGCCTTAAAAATGATAGATCTGCACCCTAAAACCTACATACCTCTACAAAAGTCAATTCTACTAGACACGTGCTCGATAGTCCGCCGTTTCTTAAATACACCTGATTCAACAAACTCCGCATAAAATCGCCACTCACTCACATCCCCTCACAATACCCCAGAATACTTGGCTTGGCCCGTACCTGGTTCCAAATATCCGACCATCAGTCGAGTACATACAAGAAATAATAATAATAATAACAAAAGCTGTGATTTATTACATGCCGCATTGTCAGAAAGTTCATGTAGATTGAAGAGGATGAAGTGGGCTCTTATTGCACACCCTCCACATAAATACACGCCATGCTTCATTTATTTCACAACAGGCTGAGAAAAATAAAGAAATTAATAATAATAACGCACACACTCATGGCGCCGCATTAGGGAAACCTTGTATCGCGGGTGCCATGGATACACACATAGGTATATAATGTAAAATTTGCGGTAACGGCAAATTACACCCAAACACGTGTTGATACAAAATCATTCAATGAAATGTGTATACAGGTACCAAAGAAGAGTCAGTTCTCGCTGAAGCGAAAGAAGAGCAAAGACGACCTGGACTTGGGTGACCTGGTGTGCCCGCTGCACGACGACGGCTCAGGTGACATTCCCACATCGCCCGTAAGTCGCCTTACTAACAACACTAATCTTTAAGCTGTGTATACGATCAGTCTGTTTTCTTAGATATTAGAGAATCCAGATAATCTTTTTGCTTATCCATTGAATGATTGACAAACTTTTTACGAATTTTAGATATGTGACCCTGTTTCGAACTTCACTAGGCTATTTATTGATTCAAATCAGTGACAAGAACCGTAATAGGTCTTATTTCTAATCATGATAAAAAAACAGGGAGTAGCCACTGACATTATAGATGGCAATTATAAATAATACACTCGAATAATAATAAAAATAAAGTTCAAATTTACCTACTCATACAAAACAAATAATCACGTGGTACCTTGAGCGAGTATATAATTCTTCAGCTTTGCGGGTCAGGGGGTCGATTCAGAATCTTACGATAACTCAGTTGTCGACCGATTCGAATTGATATCGTACGATTTCTTTTAATTTTTATTCACAACACCCGAATGGAACGAACTGTTGTATTCGAAACCGAACCAAAATGACGTCACACCCATTCGATTACTCGAACTTCTCGACCGGCAAAGGCTACAAACGTTATTCATAACATAGTTATCGAACGTCCTATTGTTTACAAAGCAAGAATTAATATGGAAATCTCTTATTATTTTAATAAAGTCTAGATTTTGTTCAATTTTATTAATTTATTTTAATGCAAGACTAATGCATTCCTATATTTTAGACCTTAGTCTTAAAAATGTATATAAAAGGATTTTCGTTTTTCTTATAATCTTATTCCACCGAGTAACTCCGTAAACGCTATTGGATAACGATATCGTATCTGAATCGAACGTTTTAACTCGAATGTTCTGAATAGCTCGGAAAGCGCCCTTCGATTCGAGAACGATATCCAATCGAATGATTCGCTTAAAATATGGAAGAGTTCTGAATCGGGGTCCTGATACGCCCCAGGTTTTTTAAACAATCCTCTAGAAGCAAAAATCGTTGATTTCCTTCTGTACGAATATCGTTTACTTCATTGCACCCACAGATCAATATTAAATAAATAAATAAACAACAAAACAACCTTATTTGAAAATAGCTTTCTCGTACTGGCTACGTGTAACAAACGCCAATTTCATTGTTTAATAAGAACCTTATAAAAAAAATTATTGCTCTGAACAAGCCCCAATGTCATGGCCATCAGCTCATTTTCTACTAATGAATTTCAAACAGAGAGTCGTGGCCTCGAATCCGGTCTTGGACATCTTGAATTTTTCGGAATTTTTGTACGAAATTTAATTTGAAATTTCACATGAGCATTTCACATCGCGAGGAAACCTGCACACATCTCTGCAAATAATAATAATAGAGTGATATTAACTTATATTATTTGTTAGTAAAACACTTAATACTTATATTAGCAGAGTACAAAATTATACACAATAGCCTCTGCTGAAAACATGCAATTCATAACAGTGCCTCATATACGGACAGTCGAAGCTATTCAGACAGTTCCCAGTCCCCATTGGGCCCGCGTGGGAACTACAGTACAAGCCCTCTCATTATGAGAGGAGCCCTGTGACCAACAGTGGGACTTTATTATAGGCTAACTATTGTTATTATTATTTACAATCTTACGGGAGCTTAGTTTACAATGAAATACAGTTTATATAGTCTAATTTTAACTATTTACAGACTTAACACTTTCCTTATCAACGTATTATACAGGTATGAAGCAGGTGTACCCTGTGCTCAATTCGTTTCACACCTGTGAGATATAAGGTATAATAATATCTCACGATTTACATTCTTAACGAAGCGAACAGTAAACTTAATTCCACTGTTTTACGATTAATTTTGTTGATTTGTTTCTCAGTAAGGATTACATAACGAAAGTTTGGTCGTATACAAAACAGCTATTTTATTTATTTACAATATTATTTATTTATTATCTATTTAAAGAATTTTGTAATTAGTTCGTGGTGCTCTGTTTTCTGGTTGAATTATTTATTTTATGCACTTTGCGTCACAATATTTTTGTTGGAAATGCACACTGTATAAAAATGTCTGGTGTTTGTGTAAAATATTAACAAATTTAACGACGGGGTTTTATTTGGAGTGGTTTCGACTTTTCTTAAGAGAACAAATGAATGCAAAATTTTAAAGCTTGATTCTGGACCGCACAGTACCAGGTTGGTTTTATTCCCTTGTTTTTTTTTCGCAATACTCTTTATTTCCAATTACAATTCAATCTTCAAGACTTTTTTGCTAATTATATCCTCAATTATTCATTATTGGGACCGAGAAAACATTTTTTTTTGTAAATATATCCGGCCATACGTCTGCCGTTCCTCGTAAGGCTATTGAAATACGAACATTACAATAGGAATACGTCGCATACAATATAATCACCTTAAGGTCCAATTAGCAAAATGGTCTTAAGCATTGTTCTTCGTAAAAAGCAGTGGCGTGAAAGACGGGTTTGTTGCAGACGATGAAAGTAAAATCAGCGGGCGGAGTCGCGTCGGGTGTCTGTCCCCCGCGTGACGATGCGCGCGCGCACTAACGCCCGCTCCCGCGCCCGCTATCGCTGTGCGGCGCAGAGACTGTCGTGTGACTGGACGAGGGCACTGAACTGCCAACTGTGTGTGGTATTTACGTGCATACAGCGTATTCGTTGTTCAGAGGTTGATTTTATATTGCATACCTGTCGTAAGTGGTTGGCGCTGTTACTCTATAGAAACCCATGAAAATATATACGATTACAGTATAGTCACTTTTAAATAATGGTACGAATCAATTACAGGTTATGTATATGAACCTGACTACACATCTCCATCTTAGTATTTTTACAAATAAATAAATAATAATAATCGCAACTAAAAGTTGACGTTTTATGTGTAAGATGCTTTACCAAAATATCGACAACGGATACATTTTTTGTAAGTCGAGCAGTTGTCACGTGCTGTAGTGTTGTCGAATGCGTCGGTACAACGACCACGGCAGTGAAAATGTTAAACATATAATGCTAATTTGGACGTTTTAACACGTACCGTATACGCAATCAATTGTCGGTTGGTGCTAAAATAAACAGCACAAAAAATGTTGATTAAAAAGCTCACGCGAATAGTCCAAGGCATTGTTATTGAAAAGTGTGAGATTATTTAATATTGACTAATTAATTATAATCACTTTGACTGCCAAATATTTGTCAAGAGAGTTAATTGGTTTTAGTTTTTAATTTATTAGATCTAAAAAGAGTAAGTTTGTTTGAAGAAAGATAAAAGATATAACTAAATTATATAATTTATACTACGTAGAGCGTATATTTAACTTTGTGCATGTATGATTGATACTCGAGTGCTTGTATAATAGGTAATCATTTAATTGTGTATTTTTTGTATAACAACATACCTAAGCGAGCAATAGACATTCCAACATAAGTATTCTGAAATATAACCTACATATTTCAGTCAAGTCAGAAAATGTAAGAAACTACGCATGACGTACAAAATGCAGACAGTATTGAACATTATAATTATTTGTATTTCTAAAGAAAAATATATGCAGTTTTTACCAAATTTTTCATGCAGTACTTAGAACCTTTCTATGGATGTAGTAGCTATATAGGAAATGACTGAAAATAGACAATATTAAACTGGTCTTACTTCCAAACGCTGCAACAATATTCTAGTTTTAAGTAATATACAGAGATAGGCAGTGAGTTAAAACCCAATCAACATTTCTGCCCAAAATTGTGAGCAGAAACGGAATTTGGTATACTTAATTTTATATACTTATTATAAATTTCAATGTAATAAATCTTTTTTAGACGAAAAAGAAGCAACTCCACACAGTCCTCACCTTGCAATCCTGTGTATTCTCACTATTAAGGATGTGAGAGTAAATGTGTGTGATGTGTGATTACGATTAGATTTTTATGAAGATCGATTCAAGTGCACAATTTTTTGTATCGATTTATTCTAATGCCATTTTCAAACGAATCGATTTAATAGAAAAGCAAATCGAATCTTCTTGATCAGAAAGCAATTTAAACAAAACTTTATTTACTACAATTGTGAATAGTTTTTGCCTTCAACTTCGGTCTCTAATGGGTTTTAACACAGTTTCAACACTGCGTTACCAACGCGCGGGGTTAAAATCCGGGCGCTTTCCCATCTCTGGTAATATATCAATTTTGTAATAAGGTGCCTGATACACGTGTTGATTATATCAGAGTTTGATTGTTATTAATTAAGCAAACTTTAGAGTCACTGTAGTGGATCGGTCTATATCTACCTAGGCGAGGTCTATGTTATTTAACTTAATAATAAAAGTCATGTTTCAGTGTAAATTTATTCTGTAGATTTTGATAGCTTAAATCAGATGTAAGTTTTGGACAACTCACCCGCACCTGTACACGTGAACACAACGACGCCATTTTAAAGCTAGATGAATAAAGTTCGAAAACGTCGATCGTGTAACTTGAGCCTAATAGTCGCGTGTGTACAGGCGTGAGTGATCCATTACATTTTGTAGGACATTTTACGCCCGTCGCAATACGCCATACATTAGAGTGACCCATTCTGTTCCTATCACGTTGTGCCAAAATAATGTAAACCCTGTAAGTCCCCGTCTTCCATAGCTTTATAATGCTATCGATTACATTAGAGAAGGTATTCACTTCACAGACAAGTCATTTTATACTATAATGTATTAAATAGTTTTTACAATAACTTAAAACCATAAAATATGATTTGTTAATAAACACTTGAATTGAACATAATTGCGTTTTTCTATATTTTATTCCGTTTCAAACAGTTGGTGGGATTTGGGGATGTTTCCTCCGTCAAAGCTTTTTAGTACTTTTAGGCCCTCTGTAAAAAAAAGAAAGTTATTAACGCAAATTCAAAGAAGACAAAGGAACCTTATACAGTAGGGTGACTGTGATTTAAGTTTCTTTTTTTATTACATTATATTAAGTAACGGTAACATTATATCAAGTCGTGCGTCTGGTGGTAAGCGACACGTCTGTCTATCGCAGTTGCAGTGCCACTCGGAGCTTTAAATCGTCAAGATCTGAAGGACATTTTCACCCTGAGACAAAGTTAACAATTACCATGTGCCTATAATTCCACTAGCACCTTTACCTTTCAAAACCGGTATGCAGTCCTAATGCTTGGCGGCAAAAATAGAATAGTGGCAGTGTACTTTCCTGGACGAACTCTTTCACAAGGAGCTCTACTGCTATTAAATTTCTAGTAACTTGAAAATATGCATTACTGTTGTCTTCTTAAATAAGTAATGATCGTGTCATACCTTTGCCTCTTCCTTTCCGGCGTAGTTCTGCTATTCTTTCAATTTCTGTGTCTTCGTCAAACTCTTTTTCTCTCTTTTGTACTTCTTCTTGTGCCTGTTTCATCAAGGACTCTTCCAAAAACGTCATCTCTAAACAGAATTATAATATGTATAAGGGTTAAGAAATGGTTTTTAAATTACTACGTAAATAATTAAAGCTAATTTAAATAATAAAAACTAGGAAAGGAGGAGGCCTATTCAGATATGTCCTGCCGTTGCCGTTGCCGCTTTACCGAAACATTCTTGATTTGTACCTATTTAAAAAATTACCACTATGTTGAATTATCTCCTCCTATATTTTATTCTTCTAAAGGATATTTTTATAATCTGAACGTGACATTTCGTGTAGAACAGCCCCCGTAGCATGGTTACGCATGATAGTCTATTGGCTATCTAAATAGCGCGCGCTTATTTCAGTTTTATCGCATGCGTAGCCATGCTACAGGGACTGGATCGCATTTTGCCACCTCTATAATTTTTATCATTTATCTGTTTGAACGTCAAGACCTCAAATGCATCCTTCCGTTATGAATACCGAGCCAACTAATCGACACTGACATGCGAGGGCTGAGGAGGGGTGCGTTTGTAGAGGTGATAGAAGGAGGAACTACGAAAAACAAGCCTTAAGTAAATAACAATAAAGAACTCACTACAAAGTCGGTTGTCCATCGAGATCCAAGTACCGTTGAAGACAGCGCCAGCGGTCGGTCGCGCCTTCGCTTCCGGCTCCATAAGTGACGTCACCTGTTGCTTGCACTCCATCGTCAGCTCGTTCACCACGGCGGTTCGGAAGCGCCATTTTCGCATCACCTGCCCAAACAACCCAAACATCAGGCTGCTAAGTGCTATCACAACCACACACAGCTGATTGATGATACGCTTCGTCACCTGCTTTTCATACAGTCTCTTTACCGATGTTTCATTGAACGGCAGTGCTTTATTGAGCATCGTGTACAAGATTATCCCGATGGACCACATGTCAGCGTATTTGGGCAAATAGGGTACACCTTTTAACACCTCCGGTGCAGCATACGACAATGAGCCACAATATGTCTCACTCAAAACATCCTTGTCTCTCTGTCGAACGTTCCTCGCGAAACCAAAATCTGTTATCTTCACATTATAATTTGCTGTTATCAAAATATTTTCGCATTTCAAGTCTCTATGCGCTATGTTAAGCGTGTGTATGTAGTAAATACCCGATATGATTTGTCTCATCCAAAGCCTTGACTGATTTTCAGGTATAGCACCATTTTGTGTCAAAAAGTCTAACAAGTCACCGTTTTCAGCGAAGCGTAGAAAAATGAAGTATTTAGCACGTCGTTGAAATATATTGGAAACATGCACAATGTGAGGGTGGTTTATTCGGATAAGAACGTCAAGCTCGCGAGGCAAGAACTTCGTTAAATAGTCTCGAGGTGCTTGCGCTGTGTCTATCACTTTGCAAGCCATGACAGTCCGCCGGGTCTCGTCGATAAGGTGGTTTGTTCGATATACCTGCAACCGTAATAGCGTCCGTTCAAGGTCATAATGTAATTCGAAAAAGAAATTGCGCTTCCCAAACTTCTTACCTTTGCGTATGATCCTTCACCAATGATCTTTTCCAAGAAAAAGCCTTTCTCTCCTAATACTGCGATATCTGAATGAGTTACTGTTAAATCAAGCTTATCGGTCATTGGCACAACTTAAGTACATGGCACTATTTCATTCTTGGGCCGGTAGCATAGTGGTAAAGGAAAAGGATTCGCATATTATTTTCGGTGGTAGAGTGGTTATCGTAAATGCATCTTGTTGTTTGGCATCTACGATGTATTTATTTCACTTTACTTTTTTAAAGCTGGCCCTTTGATTCAAATAAATTTAATTGCTTGAGCAAAACTCAGTTTTAAGCTACATCATCTGTTAAAATATTGTTTACAACCTGTCACCGCACTGTCAAATTTTATGCCAGTAGCTAAATACGAAAAATTTGTATGTAAACAGTTCGAATTATTAACCTCATTTTTAATTATGTCTATGCAAGACATCATTAAAAATATGTGAATCAGACAGACACACCTGAAAATTATAATTATTTTTAATTAGACGTCATTAAAAATATGTGGATCAGACAGACACAACTGAAAATTATAGATTTAAATTGTAGATGACAAGAATTTAAATACCTGCTATGAGGAGCTGGAACCCGCCGCCCTTGTCAATTCCAAGTTGTTTTTCACCAGGGAAGATTCTGGAAGACCGTTTTCCTTTACTTTCTCTTTGGATTTTGGGTCTACATGCTCTACTTGCTTTAGCAATTGAGTCCTCTCTTCCCGCGCTTTTCGCCACGCTAATGTTTCTTGTGGCGTCCATTCTGAAATGTTCATCCATATAGTTACGGAGATAAATATAAAAAACAACAAATGTAAATAAATATTTACTCTCTTACCTAACAACCTGGAGTCCATTGCAATCCATTCACTGTTTATAGTTTGATCGATTTTTATTCTGTTTTGGTGGTTGGGCTCCAGCATTAATGTCACTAAAAGTTTGCAACTTTCTGAGAGACTGTCCACATAACGCGAACGGAACTTCCAGTTTCTGTTAATCTGCGCTTGGTAGAGTTGTTTGATGTGCTTGTCTTCAAAAGGCATGGCCCTGTTTAACATAACAAATAATACTATTCCTAGCGACCACACGTCTGTGGGTTTAGGATAGTAAGGAGAGCCCTGTAATATTTCTGGAGCGGTGTAAGATAAAGATCCGCAAAATGTCTCACTATGGACGTCACGGAATTTCTTGTCTACACAATATCTGGAGAAACCGAAGTCGGATAATTTGGCGTTTTGGTTAGCCGTTAAAAGCACGTTCTCACATTTGATGTCCCTGTGAGCTATTTCGAGCTCATGCATGTACTGGATGGCGAGTGCCAACTGCCTTGTCCATATTCTAGCCTGGTCTTCCTGCACTGCGCCTTTTTGCAAAATATATTCCAGCAAGTCTCCATGCTCCATGTACCTCATGAAGATGAAGTATTTGTATCTTCGCTGGAAAATACTGTGAGTGTGCACTAAGTGTGGATGACTGAGTTTTATTAACATCTCAATTTCTCTGGGAAGGAACTTCTTAACGAAATCTTTGGGCGCTGTGTTTGTGTCTATCACTTTGCACGCTAGTACGGAAAGTTTGTCATTTTTGTTCGGGTTTCTATACTCGGCAAGGTACACCTGTTTCATGAAAGCAATGTCATAAACCCAGCTACGATACTTGTAAATAAATACACGAAGTAGTAGAAGTACAACCTTCGCATACGACCCCTCGTTTACTTTTTTTATGATCCTGTAACCACGCGCTGCAAGAGTTAGTTGCTCAGAACCGGACAATTTTAATTCTTCTTCAAGGCGGTGATGACTCTGAAAACATTATTCGCCGTAGTGTCCTCAACTGACACTGGCGCAAAGTCGAAGCGTCGCGTCGCGTCCTGTTTTTCAACTATAACGCCTGCCGACGCGTGACGACGCTCGCATTAGTGCGCCTGGATCACAGTGTGGTCGGCGTCTGACGCCTCACAACGCTCTCGACTCTTGACTCCATATTTACATAACACAAATTTGTACCTTAACATTGGGAAAATAGAGATGAATATGCTATAGGCGAAAAACATGACGCGTCGCGACGCTTCGACTCTTGCGCCAGTGTGAGTTGAGCCTTAACGTCAAAATGTGCAATTGAAACACTGCTTCCTTACCTTGCTTTTACCCCCCTCCATCTACTTAGCTGTTTCTTTGTTTAGCCGTTATGTTCGCTAGAGATTTTATCATTTCACTTGCCTGTGAAGATATGACACAATTAGGCTCAATTTACATTGCGGCGGAATGGAATGGAAGCGTCAATTTCGCCCCGATGCGCGAGAAGGCGCCTGCGCGTCGCTGGAATGCTCGAGCATTCAAGCGACCACGTTTTGAAGCTGTAGTATTTCGTCCACGTTTGAGGATACTGCGCCTGCCTTCACGCCACTTCCCGCGTGCAAGAATTCAGCAGAAGACGCGTGACGTGAGTTTTGGCTCGTATCTAGTTTGTACGTTACCCAATTGACTATAAGGTTCATTATGCTACATACCATATTGTTACAAAAATTCACTTCCATTCCGTTCCGCCGCAATATAAATTGAGCCTTAGGTATTCATAGAAATGGCTTAATATGATTAATTAAAATCGATATTATTTTCATAAATACATACATATCCATACAAATCCACGATTGTGTTAGAAAAAAAAATGTTATGGTTAATTTTGATTGTTTAACGTTGATTTTAACATATTTTACTGGTTAATACAATAACGAATTGTAAGTTTTTGTTTTATGAACGTAACGTATGCACAACATCCATTATCGACGGTAATATCGAACTCAGGGACTCTGACTCTAGACGGCATTCAAGCTGAGATATCACAATTCAGTTCATCCCGACTTCACAATGTGGCTTTCTGACAGTCTTCTATCCTGCAGTTGAAATGAGGTGTAGTTAACACTCTTTTTTCGAAAACAATAAACATATTTGAAACATTTTGTAACAATACGCATCGGGAAAATGACTGCGTATATCTCCGCTTGGATTCCATGCTCAAAGAATATTATTGATTTTAAAATACATTTAACGGAAAGCGATGTTAAAAACATTTGAATTACCCTGTACGAGTTTCGAGGACCATCGAAGATGTCGCCTTCACGCTTTTTAGGTGCGTTTTTGTGGGAGTCTGAAAGTCTTCTTCGTTCTTCTTTTGCTCGTTTGAGCGCCGCGCCTTCCACGGCGTTAAGGGCTAAAAAGTCATTGTTTCAACAAATCACGCCTACATCTGTGTAATTTTAGTAAAACTAAGGCTGAAATTTATAAAACGACATTTGACTTCGACTAAATACAGATGGCGAGCTAAGGAAGTTTTTCCTATATACAAAACTAATTTGTCTAAGTTTACTGCGTAAATTTAGACAAATTAGTTGTAAATCTCTCAGCCTTATTGTGGTTCGAATGTCTCTAACTACGCGAGTTACGCTCTGATACGTAATACCCTTGTCGGAACAATAGCATATCGTCGAGGATAGTGCAATTACGCGTAACTAGCATTGGATTATGAGTTTCCATTTCGGTAATTTTGCGGCCAAATCAAATCCGCGTAAATGTTGTGGCAACCAAATTAACGTGATTTACTGGAATCTATTGTTGTCAGTCCATAACCAACATAAATTAATACTTACTATGCAATAATGAAAGTCGTAGCCATTGAAATAAGAAAGTAATAACGTTAAAACCCAGTCCTGTAAAATTTGGTTTAGTGCAGTTACGCGCCTTTTCCCAATGCTACATGCGCGGATTTGCACTATCCCCAACGATATGTACTATAGTTATACTTACTAGTTAACCGACTGTCCATAGCAATCCATTCAGAACTAAGGAGTTGCGTGGCTGTGTAGCGTAATCCTGGGTCGGGTTCCAATAAATGCTTGACAGCTGCTTTACACTCGAGTGAAAGAATACTAGCGACCCGTGAACGGAAACGGTACTTTTTGCCCATTTGCTGCTCGTACAACTTACGCATCCGAGTGTCATCGAATGGCATTGACTTATTAAGCATCACAAACAAAACCACGCCCAGGGACCACAGGTCAGACGGCTTCGGCAAATACGGCTTTCCTCGCAATATCTCTGGGGCAGCGTACGACATCGATCCGCAGTAAGTCTCGCTTAGAACAGGCTCGTCGTTGTCGTCTACGCACACCCGTGCAAAACCGAAGTCTGACAATTTAACATTATAATTAGCAGTTAATAACACGTTTTCGCACTTGATGTCACGGTGCGTAATTTCCAGTTCGTGCAAATATTGCAGCCCCAGCGCCAACTGTCGTGTCCACACTCGCGATTGATTCTCGGAAACGCAGCCGTTCTTTAAAACATATCCTAGAAGGTCTCCATTCTCGCTGTATCTCATAAAAATATAATACTTAGTTTTTCTTTGAAATATGCTGTGCACATGGATAATGTGTGGATGATTCAGTCGTATAAGAACGTCTATTTCGCGAGGTAAGAACTTAACTACAAAGTCCTTAGGAGCCTTTGATGTTTCGATGATCTTGCACGCGAGTACAGATTTATTAGAGTCTTCTCTACCAGCTGTATACTCCGTTAAAAATACCTGTCGGAGAGCAAAATGTGCATGAAAAGATACCTAACACAGAAAGTCCAAAGAATTCTCCACATCCATAAAACTTAGTACACATTAGATCAATAAAGGTTACTTTTGCATAGGCTCCCTCGCCAAGAAATTTGATCAATTTGTATCCTTTTGAATTCAATGTATTCTCTTCGGATTCGGATGTTTTCACTTCGGTCATGATACTACAGACATTGGGACAAGTATCGAGCACTCAGTACCCGTCGTATCTTTCTTCAGCTCCAACTGTGGCATCAATGCCCATTTGTACATGACCAAGTGGAAAGTAGGCATGTTTACTATTTTTATGGGAAGTAACACTAAAATTTTGAGTTACATTTCGAATAACTTTTAACCGGTTTAATTTGGAAAGTGTTATTACAGCAAGGCTGACATTTAATGGCAGACTTATGCATGACATGAATTCTTCTTTCAAAGGTACCAGAGACAGGTAAAAAAATGGATAAAAAAATGTTTAGTTAACTGCAGCATAGAGATAAAATAATATTCGACCTTCAGTCTCAAATATTTAATGATTAAAGATCAAAAGTTCTTCCTACAAGCTAAGAAAATCACAATAATTTCATAGCAAAAAATTGTCTATTTCTATGAATTGAATTCATATGGAGTAGAGCAATAAATATTATAAACACTTTGATTACATTTCTAATTGATTTTTACTTAGAAATTCTCCTGCAAGTGATATTCTCTGTAGGAACGATTGCGACGGTGTCAAGAGCAGCTCGTATTTGTGGGTGTCAGGATGATCAGGATACTTTTTCTCTTTGCGTATCCTTTCTAACAAGTGCTGTGGTTCACATTTTGGTTTCAACTTCCAGTCATTGTTTAGGAAATCCTGTATTACTTTTGGCAATAATAAATTTAATGTCGCCTTTGCTTTCCTAGTGCTTGGTGGTTCTAATTTTTCCATTTCCTGTGGTTTCTGTGGTACTATTATATCGTCTACTTCGACTTTTGCCTGAGATCGAGAAGGCTCTTCTTTCTCAGAGCGACCTGCATTTTCCATTTCTTCAGCAAATTGCATTTTAGCTTCAGTAGCGTTATAATAGAATTTTATTTGCTCCTTCAACATGTCCTTTAAGGCGTTGTCGTATTCAACTTGGTCTCTCTCTTTGCCTTGTAAATTCACATATCCTGCCTTTGTTTCTGTCTTAATCAAGACTTGATTTTGATCAAACTTAATTTCAGCTTCTTGTTTTGAATGCCTACTGGCGTTAGTGGCTTTTGTTTCCTTGCTACTGTTAGTATTTGGCTCAGTATCTTTGACTACACTAGTGTTGGATGAAGCGCCAATCATAGTCATAATTTTGACGTTGTCTTCTTCCTCCAGAATCTGGTACATCCTATGGATTTCACTGATGTTAATTCTGAAATAAAAAATAAGCATTATTTCTAGTTTGCGACAAATTGTTTGCTATTGTTGTGCCCACAGAACAATAAATACAGTAGAAGTGGTTAGTTAGCGTCTGACGCGTGCCAACACTAGGTCTCGAAAGACCTTCTTGACCTCAGTTCGCCATTTTCACTTTGTCGGTATGGTCGTGTCATTCTTTCGCGCAAATTCTCTAAAATCGCAGAAAAATGCCCTATTGTGCTGTTTTGGAGTGCAAAAATAATAGCCACACAAAAAATATTACCCATACAGTATTTCATATCGTCGTTAAGTTTTATTTAAAAAAATTTAAAAACAAGTAAAATAAAGAACTTAACTATCTTATTTTAGTATTTTTCTAATATGTTAATATTACGACTACTTGTAATCAACAAATACTTGAACATAAATTATTCTATATAGAATCGATTAATTGAATGGAATCAATCAATCGATTTAGAGCGAGCGAAAGGAGGTTTCCATCACTAAATAGTTCTTGTGATGTCATAGTGGGTACAAAAAATGTGGCACGCTTGGTATTCACACAAATTGCTCTACTTGCGGCGTCTATCTAGATATGTCTGTGATGTTAATCGTTCGTCGTAGTCTAGCTACTGGCCGCAAGATGGCAGCACGTTGGATAAAATTTCAATATAAAATCAAAACGTCGTAACTTGCAATAAAGGTATTGCACTTACAACGATATAGCGACTGGGTAAACTTTAAATTATACTAATCCAGAATTTGTTACGTCTTTTTATCAGAAACTATATCATTATCAAGATTTCGTAGTGTTTATCACTTTGTGTGCGATTTTGGCGACAGCGGTTCCGATAGTAATCGCGGCTCAAGGCACTTCCATTGTTTTATTTTGATCCGTGTTAGTGCCTATACGTGGGTCTCGTTTCTTGCGTATGAAATGTATAAGCTTTTGCAATTTTGTGCAACATACGAGTAAAAACATTACATTAATTTTATAGAATAGTATATTATTCAGAATAAATTTACCCATTTCTGGCTTCGTGACAACAGTGCAGCATAGAAGGGTCAATAGGATGCGCCTCGGTATTAAAAATGTAACCTCCGACATCTACTACGCATTCTCCGTTAGGTGTGTTGATAATCGAGCCGTGAACACCAGGGTTGTGGATGAAATTATCAGGATCAAAAAGAAGGTACAAATACTTTGTCGTTTCAGCTAGGAAGAATGATTCCATTCGATCTTCCTTGCGGTGATCGCGAACATCTTTAATCTGGAAAGGAATTTATATTAATTCATTTGCAAGAAACCGAAAACTCTCGTAACTCAAAAATAAATAAATAAAAATTAAAATCATTAATTTGGGGGACAACGACCGATAGTAAAAAAATTAAATTACAATTAAAATAAATAAAGTTAAGGTGAAAATAATTAATATAATCAATTAAAAAGTTAAAATTTCAGGGACATACAATAAAGTAAATAAATCTGTAGTTTATTGATGTTTAAATCGATAACCGCCATACCCGACACCATAGCGGGCATGCTAATCACAACAGTGCCGGATATAGGGGTGATCTAACCTTTAAAAAAAGCTATCATAGCCAAAACGAGCGCATCGTTGTGTGGAAGCCAATAAATTTATATTCTCGTTTATAAGTGGATAATTAATTATTATATTTAAATAAAAACAATCCCATTACTTCTATTTTTGAGTTTTCGACAGTATTTAATTTCATGTGCGAATATAATTTGCATAGACATTGTTATTTATGAACTTAATGATACTTTCTAATATAATTAACGTAATGAATGTCTAAAAGAATACCGTAGCGTAACCGCAACTAGTCCTTGCACTGTGTTGAATACTTCTCAAAATATCTTCCCCCATCTGCAATAATATCGGGTCTCTGGTCTCCCTGTATAAATACATGATGGATTCAATGAGCTCTGGTCTTAGAGGATAGCTCTCACGCGCCGATGACGCCTCGCCTGTGCCCAGGTTATATACTTCTGGCGTAAATCCGTATTGCTTCCATACGCTATGGTAGTTGTGAATTATACGCATCGCCGTGTCGCTTTCCCCTGAAATTACGTTATTTAAGTAAATCTACGTGTCATATAAGACTTTAAGAAGGAAACATTTTCAGTATCGTACACTTGTACTTTTTTACCTCTGTATTGTCTTTGGCGTAGGTGAATGGTGTTAATAATCTTAGAATGATGTGGTTGTAATGAGACATTAATTGATATCACTTAGTTGGCTTAACAATATTTTTTTTATACCCCGCACTAGGGAACCCTGTATCGCGGATGCCACGGACACACACATAGACAACCACAAATTACACCCAAACTCACGAGAGAAATAAATATAGGCCATACAAATATTTCTCCTGGCCCGGGAATCCAACCCAGGACCTCTGCATGGCAGTCATGATAACCATTCACCATCATTCGAGGTCACCGCTCGAAGCTCTGTGGTCGAAATACCGCAGATTGGTTTCGGGCGGTGATCGACTCGACTACTTTTTAATCGACTCGACTACTTTTTAACTGACTATGACTTACATGTTTAGTTATATGCTGTTAGTGTAAGTTGTAATAAATAAATAAATAAATAAACCATTCGACCACAGAGGCAGTTCAAATTAATAATGCCACCTCTCATATTTTACTCATTCGTTAGGCAGATTCTCCTGACAAGAATGGGTAAAAACTTTTAGAAGGTGCTCTTTGTCAACAAACATGTCTCATTACAAAATTTATTTCAAATGTTAATAGACCAAGACAACCTGCAAAAACTAAATGGATGGATGACAAAAAACCATGGTAGTGATACCATTGTTTTTGTCATCCATGTATGCACAAGCTGTATAATAATCATTAGTGCAAAGTAATGTTCACTATAGTTTTAAATCTCGTAAATGGCAAATTTTGAATATTAATCGAAAATGAGTTCATTACCGCTTAAATGAATTTATGACTTTTGAAGATGATCTATCACATGAATGAAGGTGATCTGACTTGTAAGTCTTTATTACAAGTACTTATTATGCACTTTAACAATAGCATTCTCACCAATAAGAGTAAGTAGCCCAGGGTAATATGACTCCAAAGACTGAAAGACAGGCAAAGTGACATGTCCTCGTAACATAGTCGCCCACACGAACCAATCGTCCTTTTTTAAATATTTGTCGATTACTTGTCGTGCCTCTTTGAACATGGACATTAACTCAGGTTTCTCCAATAGAATGGCTCCTGAAAATGTTTAAAATAATTAGATATATAATATATAATTTAGAATCTGCTTCTGTTCACCATAATCATAAAATATAGTAAATTAACTGAATAAGAAACAAATTTGCCATGGTGTATCTTTTTTGCGCCATGCAGGACATTCTTTTGATGTACTCCAACCAGTTTTCTGGGTTGCTGTTATAAGATACATTATATATACCTTTGACTAGATATTCATAGTAAGAGTCCACCCCTCCCCCAATACCAGCATCTTGTGCAGTCCAGCGGCCAGTCATCACATCAATGTGGTTGCCCAGGAGACCTATGGGTGATCTGTGGTGGTACAGAGCTTTTAGTGCATTGTATGCTACCTGAAATGTGATTATTAGTGTCTAATAAATAAATACACAAAGCTGTCATAAACCAGAAATGATTTTGGATTTTAAATACACAAGACTGGCTCACTATACCAGGAACATGACAACTGGATGTCGGTACTGTGAACAGCAAGAAATTTAAACTTAAATGCTGGTGTGATGATTAATAATAATAATAACAATAATTTATTTCATCAAAATGTTTACAATGCATGCATAACGGTTTAAGAAAATATGAGTCTAACCAACCCACCACCGCCCATGGTCCTTCCTGCCTCTCGGCGTACGGACTTAATCGCGAGAGGCGCTCACGGTACTTGCTCGGGGCTCTTTCCCGTGAAGCATCTTGACTCCCTACAAATTCTGTTTCCATGTCCCTTTTTTTTGTCACCTCTCCCCTTTCTGGGGCGTGTACAGCACAGCACTTCGCGTCGACCTGCCCCAACATTAGGGCGCTAGGCCTCATACACCTTCCTTTGGTTAAGCCACAAGGCGTTGGAACTTGTCTCGTCATATCTTAACGGTAGAATTCAGAAAGTAGACATAACTGGAGTGACTTCCTTGGGTTCTCCGGTAAAAATGGGTGTTCCGCAGGGCTCAATACTTGGACCGTTCTTATTTCTCATTTATATTAATGATCTACCATTCTTTGTTAAGGACCTTTGCGAAATAGTATTGTTTGCTGACGACAACATCCTTGATTTTTAAAACAGACAGACATGACATTAACTATGATAATATTAACGATACCCTTTCAAAGGTAGTTTATTGGTTTAATGTTAACAATTTATTGCTCAATGCTAAGAAGACAAAGAGTGTTAAATTTGAATTACCTAATGTAAAATCGACTAGTCCAATCATAGAAATAAATGGAGAAAAGTTAGACCGTGTTAATAAAGCTGTCTTTTTGGGAGTGACCTTATATAGTAAACTTCAATGGTTTCCACATATATATCCAGCAGATTAAGCTCTGCTGCATACGCAGTCCGTAGAATACGTGAGCTTACCGATGTTGCTACTGCTAGACTAGTTTACTTTAGTTACTTCCATAATATAATGTCCTACGGGATTCTCATGTGGAGATGATCTCAACCATATTTGTGTTGCAAAAACGAGCGTTTCGTTCTGTGTACCGTTTAGGTTCCCGGGTTTATCTCAGAGAAAAGTTTAAGGAGACTGGTATCATGACATCACAGTACATTTACTCAAATATTTTGTATGCCCGTAAAAATATACATAATTTCATTGAGAAAGAAGATATCCATAATTTTTACCTTAGAAATAAATCCAAACTCATAGTACAACGATTTCGTTTGACTAAGGTAAACAATTCTTTTACGGGGAACTGTATACATTTTTACATTAAGATTTCGGAGAATATATTACGATTATCATTTCCTAAGTTTTAAACTTACATTAAAAGTATTTTAATTGAAAAGTCATATTACAAATTGAAGAGTATGTTTTAGATAAAGAAGTATGGAAAGACAACAAGTGTCTAGACTCCATACAATAAAGATTCAAAAATTCCATAGCATTTAAGTTTAGTTGAAAAGAGCAAACCCTAGAGTTTCTTGCTCGTTCTTCTCAAGGAGGTCAGCGTATAGAACGAGCAGTAGATTAAAAAATGACGTTTTCAAGTGTAAAAATGTAATAAATGATTATTTGACTTTAACTTTGGGTCGAAAAGTATATTGGTCCAATCTCGGTTCGTTAAAGGCCGTCGAGCATGGTGTTTCTCAGTTCGGCGTACAGCTTACATTCCCACAGCACGTGGTCGTGACTCTCGCTGGGCTCACCGCAAGGACACGACGCAAAATCGCACAGCCTCATGGTGAGCAGTTGGGAGACCGCGTAGTCTACCCATGTTGAGGATAGTCTCACTGAGACGTCGGGGAAGAAGCTGTACAGCTCAAGACCGTTGTCGCTTGACAACCATCGACCCTGCCAAAGAGCTAAGACATCCCCTCTAACTTTCTGCTTTTTCCGCTTGCGCTCCCGGGGGGCCAGTAGGACACTCTCTTTTTCAATTCGTCCCGCACTAGACTTCCAGGTTGGCAGGAAATATAGCGAGTATAGGTAACCTGTAGCCCTTCGTGAGTAAGACAAGAGCTGGTCTTTGCGTTCGGAGCAGCGCTGTCTTAACTGGGTATATCGACGAGCGATGATACCATACGGCAGCGGCGTAGGAAAGAACCGCCACATAGGTCCCGGAAAACAGGATCCTAAGGGGCTTCATGCCCAGGTCGTAGCAGAGACTCGCGCTGTCTTCCCGAAGGAGTTACGCTGACAAATATTGCATGCTGCACGTAGGACCTCACATCGTCGAGCACCACACCGAAGACTCAGGCCTGCGTCACGCTCGGGACCGAAACACCGTTCATTGTAATTGTGGGGGAACGTTTAAATTTACCCTCATTGGTCATTATTTGGGATTTACCCGCAGAAAAACCTAGCCGGTTGCGAACTCCCCATTGGGACACCGCGGTGAGAATAGTAGATGCTTTCGCCTCCATACTGCTCGCGTGCATGCTTCGATCACGATCGTGACATCGAATTCGTAGGCCACCATACTTACTCCGTCCGATTTCGGCAGCTGCAGGAGATCGTTGAGAAGGAGGTTCCATAATGTTGGGCCCAAGACTGAACCCTGCGGACATCCCATGGTGAAAGTCTTCCACAACACCCGTTGCCCGTTGGCCTACTATTTACCCTACACGTCTGTTAGCAAAATAACTAATTAAAATGCGGTAAATATTGGGCGAAATGCCACACTGCTTGGCTTTCGTGATAATCATCGGCCACCAGGCGTTGTCGAATGCACCCGAGACATCTAGAAAGATCAGCTATACGTAAATCTCTACAGAACTATCAGTAATCGCGTTTATTGTGTTGAGCGCCGTGACCGTTGAACGGCCACGGGTAAAACCGTGTTGTGAAGCCGAAATGTTTCGATAGAGGCAGGAAGCGCAAGCGAGTATCACGCGTTCGAGGATTTTCCCCAAAGTTGGGAGTAGCGTAATCGGACTATAAGCTTTCAGATCAGAGAGGGTCTTGCCGTTTCCTTTCGGCAGTACTACTGTCTTCCATATGTCCGAGAAGACACCTTCAGAGATGCAGGCTCGGTAGATCCGCCATATTTCGTCGGAGGAGGCGCTCCAGGTCCACTTTACAATCTTCGCGGAGATACCGTTCATTCCAGGAGCTGTGTTCGGTAAGTTCCACACAATCCTTTCTATCGTAGTCTTACGTGGGGGATCGCAGTCCTTTCCTGTTGGGCAGATCGCCGCGGAGAACCTGACCTCGCGATCGAAGACGTCGTCGCGGCCAGTCTGGTCATCCGGGTAGAGAGACCTAAGGCCCGACGTGGTGTCATTTGTAGTGTTCGTGTAACCGTCCACGAGTTTAGCGCCGTTTATGACATTAGTGGGAGGGGCGCATCCGCCCTCAAGCTCGCAAGCTTCGCGGTAGGCCGAACCCCATGGATCGTCGTAGCCGGAGTTTGCGATAGACTGAAAGAATGCTAATTCAGCACTTTCTATGGCCTGCTTATGGCGGATGCGGGTAATACGTCGTGGAGTTCCTTTTTCAGATCACCGCCAATTCGGCGAGAACCTTGACCAGACGGTCCAGGTCACGGGACCACCACTCGTATCTGTCGTTTTCCTTACTTGCGTCCTACACACATCAAAAAAAGTTTGCGATCAATAGCATAAGCTCCTATAATTCTTTAAATTTAACTTTATCAAGAAAAAATCTATGTTGTATGCTTTCTTTAAATAGGAATATCCTGTTTGAAATTAAAATATAAAACTATTTTTTATTATTTATTTTAAAAAATTGAGCCATTAATCATAATGTAATAGTGATAGAAATTTCATAGAAAGAAAAAGACTGTTTAATTAAACTTAAACAACAATTTATTATTAAAAGGTGTGAATTCAATATAAAATAACTCCTCCCCTGACTCGAATACATGCGAAGATCCTCCTGGGCATGCTGAGGATCAAGTTATCCAGCATTTCCTGGGGTAACCTATCCCATTCTTCAATAGCTTCCCTGAGCTCTGGAACTGTCTGGGGACGTGGCTCACGGTTCCATACTGCTCGTTTAAGAGCATCCCACGCGTGCTCTATTGGGTTTAAGTCGGGCGAGCCGGCAGGCCAGTCTAATCGTGTGATATCGTATTCTTGAAGAGCAGTATTGACTCGTTGAGCTCGATGTGCGGGCGCATTATCATCGACCAGTACAAATTGGTGCCCATGGTTTACTCGTAATGGTCTGACGATATCATCAATAGCAACTGCTTTGTACATGTCTGCTGTCATGAAGCCCCGATACGGGATCAAAGGCGTTCTAGCTCCAATCATAATGCCACCCCAAAAGGACACCGATTTTCCGCCTTGCTGAACTGTTCCAGAGGCAGTTCTTTGTCTTTTACGGTCGCCTAGTCTTCTCCAGACACGGACACGTAGGTTATCTGGATGAGTGCTGATTCGAGATTCGTCAACGAAGAGACAGTTTTGCCAAATGTTTTCGTCCTCACCTTCTTCATTTTGCCGAAGTCTAGCCCACTGCAATCTTCGTTGTTGACGTTGCCGGGAATTGAGCGGAGCTCACCAAGACCTCCGTGCTCGTAATCCAGCCTGGTGCAAGCAATTGCGAACGGTCTGCGTGCTAACTTCAAGCCCAGAGGCGGCCCTGACTTCTGCTTTTATTTTAGTGGCGTTGATTGTTGGATCACGGGCTGCCAGCAATCTAATATAGCGCTTTTGGGCAGCTGTCAAAACAGTTGGGCGACCGCTGCGGGGTCGGTCAGCTAAATTCTCCATTCCGTGATACCTCTGCAACGTAGCCACGACACAGGATTGGGATATAGCAAGTCTGCGTGCTATTACTCTCGTGGTGTATCCTTCTTCCCTCAAAGTTACTATTCTAGCTCGTAAAACCTCTGATAATCCTCTTGGCATTTTTTCAATCACAACTTTCCGCGAAAAATATCTTGAATCGCTTATAACTGACTAAATCAGATTTCTGAATGAGCGTAAGCTAGGACTGAAAGCCTTTTTATATGAAAAAACAATTGAACGGGGTCATTGTTTTATGTTCTAATTTATTTTTAAATAAAGAATCTAAAAAGAAGAAAAAATCATAATATAATCTACAGTAACAAAAAAGATTTCAGTTTTTCGAAGTGATCGCAAACTTTTTTTGATGTGTGTAAGTATTCGCGGGCTGTTTTTAGTAGGATGTCGGAATACTCTTCATACAGTTTGCTAGCAGGACTGCGAACACGTAGTCTGCCCATGTGGGCGTTTAGTGCCGAGCAAAATGATCTCCAATCTACACCAGGCACCCGAAAGACAGTAATCGGCGCACTCACTACGTCGGTGTCGGTCGGGGCAGTGAGCGTATTCGTCGAAACCTTAAATGTAATCTGCTGGTAGTTGCTAAGGCTGGCACCCTCGTGCACGTTCCATTCGAACACTGTGATTGCTCTTGTTGATAATGTAAGGTCCACATTGGACGATCCTGTTGATCCACACAATGTTGGCGGTTGGTCCAATTGCTTGTGTATCAACAAGTTCCTGCACAAAATAAAACCTTCCATGATGTTCCGTCTGTGATCCGTATCACGGCCGCGACATAGAGGCGAGTAAGCATTACTATCTACGCCAATCAGGATGGGGACCCTAACAGATGGTTCATAGCAGTCTCCGGATGTTCCAGGTGTAGGGCAATATCTTGGCTGTACTGGAAATAAGCCGACACTACGTGGAGTACAACTCCTCTGCATTCCACGTGTGTGACCAAACATTGTTCCATGCTCATATGGTGCAGAATGGTGCATGCGATGTTCTGGTTGAATATCAGGTTACCAGCCTTGGGATTCACGCCACACTGTATAGTATAAGTCTAACAGTTACCCTTATGAGTTTTTGAATAATATAAATCATTCATACACTCATGGCGGTATATTACCAAAAATGTTCTTTACCTTAAGTGCTAGTCGAAACTGTGTTACGGCAAGGTAAGGTTCTCACTTAAACTAATATAATCTTTACGAATTAGTAATAAGATTAGTATTAAACTGTTTGTTTTCAGTAAAGAAATATAACAACTACAATTTTTTTATCTTTATGTCCAAAGTTTTTATATTTTCACTTTATATATAGATAAAAGTTAATTTAAGTATTACATAAAATTACAAATAAAAATCTTAGTTTATTTTTTAGTCCTAGTGTTGCGCGATTATTTCAATTCAAAACTTGTGAACCTATATTGTACACAAAAATTTGAACAGCAATTATTTACTTTTATGTTATATTGTCAATTGTCAAGTCTTAGTATTATTATAGAAATTAACTATAACTATACCTCTTCGTATATGGGATCTCCAGTAAGTCTACTCAAAGTGCCAAACTCAATTATGAAAGTGCCAACTCCTGCAGTACAAGTCACGCTAGTTTCTCCAGGAGGTATTCCAAACCTCAAGTTGATAGTGCCATATGGCATTCCAGTTGTAGTATCAAATGCTGTTATCAGTCTTTGAGCCACATCTTCAGCCAGACGAAGAAGTGGACCGTTACAAGGCCAACCTGGTTCTAATATTACACCCATCCTGCAATGATATAACAAGAAGTTTTAGTATTCTGATTAATATTTAAATATTTCTATTTGAATACAAATTTCTTTGTATCATAAATGTGTCTTATACAAGGACAGTTTGATAAATATGTGACTTTAAAATTAAACAAAAACTTTTATTGTAATTTATTTCCATTTCTTAATTTAGAATTAAGTAAGGACTTAGCAATTGTCATTATTTAAAAAAAAATTGATGAAACAAAAAAATAGAAATAAGAAGTTAGGTGAGATTCCATTTCTCATCTGCAATCAAAATATCAAAACTTGTCAAATTATGATACTACTGACCAT